TCCATTATTGGTAAACATTTGCCCCATTCCATCATCAATGACAAATCCCGTACAAACCATGAACGTAACGATTCAAGAGTACATTGTGATGAAAGTGTTGTGTTGTACTGAAATGGACAAACTCTAGCGATGCTTCCCTCTTTTGCAACAAGTCTTTGCAATATTGGTAGTGTACTAGGCATCTCTACAAAGAATACCGTAACTATTCAATATGAGCGAGCTATACAAATTTATTTTCACCAAATGTGCACTTCCTCTTTTCCCAGGAAATTTCCATTTAAGATTCGCAAAGCTTATTGAAAAGGAATGAAAATCAAGTGGTGTGAATGGGATGAAACATAAAAAACGGATAACTCGAATTTCGATGATGTCTTACTCCCCAAAAAGACACTAAATGATTTGGAAAAGTATAAGGTCGCCTGAACGATTACTATTTGATGTACGACCACATTTGAAAAGATTTCTTCAACTTTTTTTTATCTTACACTAACCTCAACGATACATAAATACATGCTTGCTACATTTAATTCATTTATCCCCTTCTTCATATACGATCGAGGAAAACAAAAACAGGAACTCTATTCGCCTCACTAGAAGGAAGCTCGAATAATACCGTGTAGCAAAAATAAGCTTTGTAATCCTTTTATAGTATTTTATGAAAGCAATGCTGTTGATGTGGCGGGTTTGCATCAGAACTAAGAGATGTATTGTCTTCTTGATAAAGGAGCTGGTAATTAGATATAATGCAAATTCCTTTTAGAAGTAGACGTTGATGCTTTTGGTTGAAAAACATGGTACTGTATAATGTTATTGATGATACGATTGATCCTTTGAAAATCACCACTAAAAAGGCTAAGGAAAATACTGGGATTTAACTATTTTTCTATTGTAAATGATAAATGCTCACCAGAGGCCGTGAATTTTCCCTCATCCATTCGTGATCATCGAATAGGCACCTGAACAGCCAGAATTTTTAAAATCACATGGTGTATAAATCCTCTTAACAATGACAATAAGATAGTTATTTAGAGTGTTTGCTTGCTAAGCACGATCGATTACTCGCGCCGTGATTGAATTCTAATTCGTTTCTCTCATAGAGTTTTGTCCTGCTACAATTCTTTTCGCACAAAGAGACATTTCACATGTTTCACTACTCGCGCTACAATCTATAAAATGTGACATACGAAAAACATTCTGTTTACTGTGAATGCTGATGGTCGACGCGCTGGACGACTGACGTGATAGCTGAGCTAGGTCTTAAATCAACAAACTCCTTGTGCTATGTGTGCGAGAAAAGGCATCTAAAAGACAAGACAGAAACAGAAGTTCTTTCTTGCAACTTGACATCATGGGCCTTATTTTTGAGGTTCAGATGTCTTTCCATTTACGCAATTACGATGAGCTCTTGTGATAAGGTAACAGCCCAAATGCAGGAGACTCGAGGAAATGCGATAAAGCGCTTCTCCCCCACTGTGCTCCATCGCACATGTTATGTTATGCGGGTTTGCGCCTGTGGCAATCGGGCAAAACAATAAATTCGAAATAACTGTTATTGAGAGCACAGACGGCTTACAGCAGTGTGTCTCATCCAACCGATGCTGCTAACAACGAACAATCATCAAACGACTGTAAACAAAAAGAAAGCGATAAGTATTGAACAGTGTTTGTTCTCTCCAGTCGAAAGTTCAACTTGGTAAAGTCAAAATTGTAATCTTACATTTGAAGCTTAGAATAAAAAAACTTGTGAGGATATGTACTTGTTTCATGCATAGGGTTCCATAGAATTTTAGAAAAAAACTAAATAAAGTCACGATAAAACGAAATAGAATGTAGGTTCCTCCACATAATCGATGACATTCAAATTCGTCTTACTTGTACTGAACTATGAAAGAAAATTTTCTAACAAAATTAAGCTGCCACTTTTACGGTGGAAAAAAAATTTCATTTTTCGTTGTGCGACGACATTACGCAGTTCCAGGCAAAAAGCACTTTGCCCTATTGCATTTGGCTTACGTTCTAAAAAAACCCATTTTTTACATAAACGACTATGACTGCGTGCCGATAGTCTCCCGATAATACTGAAAAATTGCCATTTACAGAGAGACCTTATGTAAGGGATGATTCAAGGTTCAGAAGATCACGGAGCCTAAAGGTAGGATGAGTGAGAAAAAGAGTTTATGAAAAGAAATTCCTCAGACAATAACCTAATTTAGATTAGCTCTTGAAATGAGCAATTCAACAAAGTTTGCCATCGCATTATAATGTATTCAATTGAAGCATTGGCACTGTGGTGTTATAGCTCAATTGGCGTTATTCTCATCATAAATGGTGTAGATGCACTCACTTATTATACATACAACTTGTTGCCGATGTATGAGGCTCAAATCGACAGGCTCGCCGCACCAGCAGCATTTTGTCCTCTAACCGCATGAGGTCATCCACTAACAACTTTACATCGTTCTGAAAAGAAAAGTAGCTTAGAACAAATCTTTATTAAGTTGGACTACGAGGGAAAAGACTAATCAGTACCAAGGATACCTGCGATTCGAGGTCGAATGCCGAACTATCGAGTTCGGGAATCACCATCATCGTACTTGACGATGGTGTTGAGGTATTAACATATTGATCAGATCTGAATATCCAAATATATTATAAACTGCAAT